TGGACATGGGGATGCAAGGCTCTGTTCAACCCAGACGGGCGGCGGGTGCGTCTCTGCCCACGTGGACATGGGGATGCTAGGCTCTGTGGAGTCCCCAGGTCTCATCCTTTGTCAGAACAAGTGACAACCAGGTAGCAAGCCAGGGACCCACCCAGGGGACCACCCATCACAGGGGACCTCCCACCGCAGGCCTCATGCTTGTCCACCTCCACCCAGAGGACCTCATCCCGCATTCACAGGGGCTTCTAGCCATAACTGGCCAAAGCCAGCAACAACTACTCCAGACAGAGCGCCAGCCAGAGGGGAAGGAGCAGAAGGCAGGGCGAGGGTCCCCACCGACGGCACCTTCCTACTTAGCTTGGGAGTTAAGAGATCTTGGTGTTTTGAATTTTTAAAAATTTTTTTATTGTGACTTGGGTGAAAGGTTACAGAACAAATCTGCTTCCCACTCCTCGGTATACATCCTGATTGCCATCCCCATGCTGTAACAGCACTCCTCCCGCTTCCTCCTGGCGTTCCCACATCCATTCATCCTTTCCCCTGCTTCCCTCCTGCCTTCTGAGGTTATCCCTGAAAAAGTGCTGCCCTGTGATCTCCTAACCTTGGCTGTTCTAGGGAGTGTGTTCCTCCCCGGTGCTGCTGTTCACCTTTCAGGCCTGTCTGCTCAGCTAAAAAGCTGGGCCAAGAGTCCTGTCTGCTCTTTTAAAAGCAGACAGACACTTGGATTTGGGGGTGCAGTGTCTTGGTGTAGACTTTGTTTATCCTGCTCATAACGCAGTTCCCCAGCTAGTCCTCCTGTTTCCCCTGATCTTTAGATGTTGTTGATGTGCCATCAAGTCGCCTGTGACTCACAGTGACCCTACATACAGCAGCTCTGAAGTGAGCCCTGGCCTGGGCCAGGCTCACTGCCTCCGACACACCTACCTCCATTGCCCCAATCACTGTTCAATCCATCTCATCCAGGGTCTTCCTCTCTTGCACTGTCCTGGCCACATGCCCAAAGTATGTGAGATGGAACTTTAAAATCCTTGCCTCCAAGAAGAAACTTGGTTTCACCCTCTCCAAGATAGGCCTGTTTGTTTTCTTGGAGGTCCATGGCATGTTCAAGACTCTTCTCCAGCCCCACAGCGCGAAAGCATTGATTCTTCTGCTATCATTCTTAGTCACTTCCAACTCTCAAATTCATAGCAAATAACTGAGAAGACCATGACCTGGATCAGGAGCACCTTAGTCTCTAGACTGACATTGCAGCTTCTGAGCACTGTGCAGACTGGGAGACTGGAGCCAAGGTCCAGCAGGTCCACGTCCTCCTGAGCACAGTGAGAGAAGAAGGCTTGGTGACACAGATGACAATGATGGACAGCAGAAGGTGCCTGAGGGGACAAGGTGGCCTTCCCCATCAACAAATCATGTGGCTTCGTGAGGGTCTTCTTCCCAAAGTGAAGGAAAAGTTAATAAACTTAAAACTCGGTCCAGCACAGAGCGTTCAGGTGGAGAGGGAGGCGAGTGCCGTGCGGGGAGGCAGAGCGGGGGTCTTTCCTGGTGTGGGGGGACCACACCGGGAGTCCTCAGGACAAGGGGAGTGGCCTGTAGTGCTCTGGAAGCTGCAGCCTTTATTCTGATCTCAACAAGCCTTCAAGCAGCAGCCAGCGACGACCTCCGCCAGGGATGGCCTCGTTTCCTGGTCTTCCGTGAGCTCCTTCACTCATTCCATTCTTCTGGCCTTCACCTCTGCATGCCCACTTACCGCCACCCCAAAATGAACAGAAGTGGCGATGCCGCCGGCTTCCAGAAGCGACGCCTCTGAACTGTGCTGTGGGCGAACGCGGAAGACAGCACAAACTGCCAGACAACCAACACACACATTTGGGAAGACATGCAGTCAGGGCGCGCCAGCTCCCCACCTAGACCCAGGGGGTGTTATCAGGCGCGGCCAGTCCCAGGAGGACAGCATGCTTGGAAAACAGGGGGTCAAAGAGAGGCAACCCCTCAGCGAGCTGGAGGGACACCATGACTCAGCAGTGGGCACAGTGGGACTGCGGGCGCAGGCCAGGCAGTGCTTGGTTCCGTTGAACACGAGTTGGAGACAATGAGGCCACCCCATATCTATCCTGAGCACCACCACCGGCCACTCCAAAAGGAGAGGGTCTAAGAGCGGGAGAAAAATCTAGAACAAAATTCTAAACCCTAAAAACGACCTGGCTTGGTGTGACAGAGACTAAGAGACCCCAAAACTATGCCCCTCCTCCACCCCTCGAGCTTGAGCTCAAATCAACTCGGAGCCACGGCCTTAAATCAGACAAGAATCAGCTGACGACCACCACCAGGGAGACACACTCCTGACAACCACCAACCACACAAGACCAAAGGGACAGCCTCAGCCCAGGGATAAAGGCAGAATCGGGACGTGGGGGATGGAAGGAATCAAGACTCACAGGGAGGAATGGGAGGAGTGCGAGGGAATGAGGGGATTCGAGCAGTAGTCACAAGCCAAGACGGCTCCACGGAAAAGCAGCATTTTCCTGTACGCTTTCACTCAAACCACAAAGAAGTGTCTTTAGAATAAAGGCTGCACAGTGGAGTGTATTGACGGGGGGAGAGAATTGTATAACAATGAAAGAATTTTTCTTTTACTTTTCAAAGAGAGAAGAGGGGGAGGGGTGGGTAGGGAGAAAAGTGCAACAGTGAATGAATGGAAACCCAAAATTTCTGTAAACTTTCATTAAAATTAAGAAAAAAAAAAGAATTCACATTTCCCCTTGGGTATATTTCACCTAAGGGCAGCCGATGGCAGAAACGAGGAGGACATGCATTTCGGGGGTCTCTGTGGGTGCTGATGGAGGACGTGCATTTCGGGGCCCCTGTGGGCGCTGATGACACCTGCTCGGCACTGCCACCTGCTCTGGCGGCTGCAGGCAGCTAGAGGCTGCACCTGTGAGGGGAGCAGGGATTATTTGGCTTCTGCTCTTAATCCTGGGCCTAGAATCTCAGTGCTTATTTCGCCAGAGGCATAAATGTAAAACTGTAAACAAGGAAATGTCAAACTGAGGGGGATGTTTCCACTGCAGAAAGCAAGGTCCGTTCTCCCTGCAGTCCCTCCCCCACAGGCCATGAGATGACCGACCACTAGGAAGCCCATGCTCACTGGGCAGAGACAAACTGCAGATCCCGGGAGATGCAGTGTGATGGGACGCAGCCCAGCTGGGAATGAAGAGGGCTTTGACGGTCACACAGTCAGGCATCCAGGGCCTCATCCACAACCCTCACTCGCTTAAATGACTCCCAGCAGTGACACCTGCCCAGGCACCCACTCTCCACTGTGGGGCCAGGTCCTGGGGGACACCAGCGTGGCATGGACACAGTGTCCCAAAACACAGATCATGGGGACATTGGTGGGATCCATGCAGGACAGAGAGGGCGGGCAGTCTCAGGAAGGGCGGAAAATCACGCAGGAGGCAGCGAGTGTCAGACTGTAAAGTTTATTGGCCTGTTTCCTGCGAGGACGGTGGACAGAGCCCCGTGTGGTGCGTGCTGAGGGAACAGTGTGGCAGCACCAGCCCAGAGGCTCCTGGAGGCGTCAGCTGTGCCGCGGCTACAGAAACCGAATCCCAGCTCCAAACTGGACACCGTCACAGGTCCTGAAATAACACAGAAGACGACAGTGAGGGGCCAAACACTGCGGTCTACTCAGACCTCGCTTCCAAAACGTCACACATGTGCCTCCTAGGAAGCACTGGCCAGTGTCCCCGTGAGTCTTCCAAGAACCACTTTCCAGTGTCCCCTCTGAGTCTCCTGAGAACCACTGTCCAGTGTCTCCTGCGAGTCTCCTGAGAACCACTGTCCAGTGTCTCCTGCGAGTCTCCTGAGAACCACTGTCCACTGTCTCCTGCAAGTCTCCTGAGAACCACTGTTCAGTTTCCCCGTCTGAATCCCCTAAGAACCACTGTCCAGCATCCTCCAGGAGGTCTTAGAACCACTGTCTCCCACGAGTCCTCTAAGAACTACTACCCAGTGTCCCCGTGGGGTACCCTCAGCAGCGCTGTCCAGAGTCTTTTGTCCCATCTCTCTTGGCCCAGCCAGATTTCCAGAGACCCTCAGTTTGTCCTTCCTGAGCTGGGACTAAGATGCAGATCACCGAGGGAGGAGGGCACTTGGAATCCAGTGAGCAGCTGGCACTGAGAGCTGTGGACACTACTGCAGGAAGACCAGGGCCCTCTCTGACAGAAGACAGCTCAGGAAAGCGGCCTGGACGTTCTTCCCTTGCTCCCTGACTGAGTGGGGAAATGAAACAGCGGAGCCATCAGGAGATGTGAGAGGGGCGATCATTACTGCTGTCTCATCTGCACAAGATCAATAACCTCATTAGCTGATCGCACAGCGCAGGCAATCGACGCTGACGGCAGTGGTCTCATGCAGACCCCACCACCGTCTCTCCCTGAGTCGGATTTAAAATCAAACACCTGATTGCATCGTAAACATCGTTTTGCTCAGCTGGAAATGATTCGCTTACACCGCCAGACTGACAGTAGCACTCTAGGCCTACGTGCACACAGCGTTCAGAAAACAGTCTGCAAATGAACTCCAAGATACACCGGGTCTCTGCACGTGTAATCCAGGGGACAAACAGACATCTCAACAGCCGCTTGTTAACCTAGAACAGACTAAGCAATTTTACAAACACAGGTTCAGGGGCCATAAAAACATCCCAGAAATAAATACACATTACAGATGCTGAAAAGCACACGGACGCTATCCAGTGCCAGATGTGACAGGGCTCTTTGGGCCTCAGGACCCCTGACCACCAGGGCCAGCCCTCTGCTTGGACTCCAGCCACCTCCACCCCCGGGGCTCCCTGACCGCGCCTGTGTCCCACGCCCCTCATTCTCACATGCCTGCACCCCTCCTGTCTCTCTTGTAGCACCCCCACTGCCCCACATGGTCCCTGGCGGTGCTTTCACCCTAACTCAGCCTTGTGCTGTCTGCCCAGCGTGTCCAGAGCCGGAGGGGGCTCTAGGGATCACAGTGAGCACCGGGCACTGCTTCGGGATGGGGCCCATGGTGGGCAGGGAGGAGAGAGGACCTGTGCCCTCGGCCTGCACACAGGTGAGGCTGTAGCTGGAGGGCTGCAAGGACCAGGAGAGGAATGTAAACAGCACCCCCTGCGCTAGCCTCGTGGGGTCTGGGTCCCCAAGACACACACTGTTCTCAACACTCTGGTTGCTACTTGGCCTGGACGCCTGCCCTTTCGGCCACAGGATCTGCTGTCCTTTGAGATGATCCCCCTCGGGCTCCCGTCCTCAGCCCCTCCCTCAATTACAAGCTCCTCACCCTCCTCCTCCCTCCCTGCTATGAGAGCTCGGGGCTGAGCTCGGTGAAACCCGCCGTGACAGGGGGCTGGCGGGACGGAGATAACAGTGCCACACATCACTGCCCACAGAGGACGGGTGAGCGCTCAGCCTGCCCAGCGGGCTGAAGCTCAGAGCCCTCACCGCAGAGCCCACGCGGACTCGAGCAGAGCTGTCACGGTGCAGGCAGCACCACCGAGCCTGCTTCTTCATTTAACAAGGAGATAAGGCCCCAGCATCATCTAAATAATTACTTCCAGGTCAGAGTTCAAGGAGAGACAAGGTCACCCCCAGTTCCTGACCCTCAGGGAAGCCTCAGTGACCAACTAGGATGCAGAGCAGAGGTGCCAGGCCAGGGCCCCCACACAGCACATTATATGCCCCAGAGGAAACCTTGGTCTGAGATTCATCTTCAAAACGTGAACAATTTAATCTGCTGGCCAGCTTGGGGCCGATGGGGCCAATCCCTCAAAGATTATCTGAGAAAAGGAAGCAGGTGGTCAGGAAAGCAGCAGCTCAGTCCCTGGGGCACACCGACACCCACTGGTCACACGCAGTACTGCAACGACAGCGCCGCAGAGCCGGCTGAGGACTCAGGTCACTTTCTGGAGCCAACACCACTCAATCCAGGAGGCCACATGGCGGAGCCAGGAATGGCCAGGCAGGGACAGAGTGCTGGGCAGTGAGAGGCCACAGGGCAGAGCCGGTGGAAAGGTGTCAAGTAGTGAGAGACCACAGGACAGAGCCAGGATGGCCAGACAGGAGAGTGCTGGGCAATCACAGGGCACGGCAGACACCCTGTCCCTGCCCAGAGTCCAGTATTTCAGAGCTTCAGGGCAGAAGTGGGGTCTCAGTGACTGGCAATGGGGCTCTGGAAGTGACAAAGACACAGAAGCCACACACACTCACTTCTAGTTCTCTGAAAATGAAAAATACCCAGGACATATCCACTGCATAACTTAAGATGGAGATCATCACATCCAAACCCACTGCCACTGAATCACAGCGACCCTCACACCAACTGCAGAAGCAGAAACCTCAGCTCTTTTCCTCGGGGCAGCCACGGGCTTGGCCAGGGGCTGGCCAGGGCCTGAGTGCTGACCTGTCCCTAGAAGGTGAGGCCTGTCCACACCCCACCAGGGCTCCCAGCAGTGAGGACACCTCATTAGTGTGCCCTGAGAAGCAGGAGTGAGCACAGAGCTCAGATCACCGCCAGGAAGCAGCCAGCCCACAGCAGAGACACAGGCAATATGCCAGGGGACCCAATGATCTCTCAGAGGTGCTGGGGTCTCTGATGAGCATGTGGTCAGAGTACCCCTTGTCAGAGGTGCTGGGGTCTCTGATGCACATGGGGTCAGAGCACCCTTGTCAGAGGTGCTGGGGTCTCTGATGCACACGGGACCACCCCGCACGTCCTCTCAGGAGCAGGTGCAGCACACCGCCTCTCCCACACTCTGCGGGCCCGGCACCGAGCGCTGCAGCGGGTGTAGCAGCAGAAGCCCGGCTCTGGAGTCTGAGTGTCCTCTGTCAAAAGGGCTGACACGCCTACTCCACAGTGTGCAGAGCCCAGCGGGTACCTGGCACAGGCCAGCGTCTGGACAAGTGTGCAGAACTGCCCCATGTCAGCACGTCACAGGACCCCCTACCACGACCGTCATCCACACTCAGGTAAAGACTGGGCAGGTGTGAAAACGGTAGAGCCACATCCTCAATGTAGGACAAATCAGGCTGGTGGGGGAAGTCCAGGGTTGGGACGCAGACCACATATCACTGGGGCAGAGAAGACAGACGAGGGCAGAGAAAGAGACGGAGCCCAGAGCACTGGACGCACAAGCAGGAGCCAGAGAGGCTGCACAGACGCTTACGACACTGACCAAGGAACATCACAGTATACACGAGGCCAGGACTCAGGGCAGCGAGGCCACACACTCTCCTCACGACTCCAGCCAAGCCCCTCACAGCGAAGCAAGCCCAGAACTCGGGGATGGAAGCAGAATCACCCTGAGCGTGAGTGGCCCCAGCACCACGTTCCTCCACAGCTCACAGGTGTTTCCTTGGTCAGACAATCAGGGAAGGGTGGCAGCTGGAGGTCACAGGGGAACATCCCCTCACCCCCAGCCCCATGTTGAGGAAGCGAGCCCCCCACCCACACCCCATGCACAGAGCCCGCAGCTAAAAGCCCCCCATGCAGCTGGCTCCCTGCGAGCAGGAACAACAGTGCTCCACCGAGTCCTGGGGCCAACCACTGGGGTGGAGGGGGGACCCGCGGCCTTGCTTCTCCCACCCCACTGGCCGCAAGTACACACACATTCAGTGTCTCCTGTGATCGTGGGTCTTACAGGACACCCCTGAAACGTGGCAGAGCAGCACTGACCTGTCGCCCCCCTGGACGCCCATGGGGATGCAGTAATTGAGCTCCAGGCGGGCGATGTTGCCGAGCCTGAGGACAATGCCAGCTCCGTATGACCAGCGGATGCTCTCAGCCAGCCGGCGGATGTGGGCCTTGGGGCCGTCCCCTGGAAAGAGAGAGGGTGTGAGGCCGAGGGCCTGTCCTCCCAAAGCCCCCTCGGAGGCCTGGATCCCCTCTATCTGCCCGTCGGGGTGCAGGTGGGCAGCAGTGGTGGGAGGAAGGCCAGATGCAAAGCCCACACAGGCCCGGGGCCGCTCGTGCGGTCCTCCCTGGAGTAACCCATCGAGCCCTCACTCCAGGCCGACTGCCCGGGAACCCTCCGCAGCCTCGGCTTGCCCCTTCCCCACCTGTCCACCAGCAGGACCTTGTGCGGGGTCTCCTGGGGGAAGGGGCAGTCGTTCTCAAGTCTGTGGCATAATGGCTGGTACGCAGTGTGCACTAGCGTGTTCTGAATGAAGAGGCAGATGGGTTTTCCTTTCCGACAGCACTATAACTTAACCACGTTCACTCACTCAGCAGCTTTGTCCCGGCCCCGCACTGACGTGGCCCTGGAACCAAAGGGTCCACCCGCACAGCGGCAGCGCCAGGCTCACCGTAGTTGAGGTTGCACAGGTTGCCGGCGTTGAGGAAGAAGTGCGTCCTGAAGAGCTCGCCAAAGCCACCCTGGCCAGGTCGGAAGGGCAGCGGGGTGTAGAGGTGCAGGCCGCCTGCCCAGTATGCTTCTCCACCCAGGTAGTCACCTGCGGAGGGAGGACACGGGAGAGAAGCAGGGCGCACGGGTGACCACCACGCGCGGGACACCACGGGGCATCCTGCGTCCCCACGGAGGACAGCAGCCCCCGCCTCCTGGCTGCCGGCCGGCCTCATCTCACGACACCTCCCTCTTTCTCTTGCTTTATTTTACAACTAGCTTTAAGAGGGAGAGAAGAGGGTTGCCAGTGCAGCTTAAGAAAAAGGAAATATTCTGTATGTGCAGGACTTGACACAAGAAACAGAGCCTTGGAAAAAATCACTTGATCCGCCACTGCAGATAACCTAGCTCACCAGCCTGGCAGGGGAGATGCGTTACTTCTGCAGAGGCGTCAGGACGGGGGACAAAGTGCAGAGAGCACTGTGCAGGCGTCGGGAGGAGGGGACCCAGGCTCCCCATGAGTCAAGGGGAGGCGGGAGAGGTTCACCGTCTCCCAGAATTTTAAAGGTTAATTTTGCCCAAATGAAAGAAAGACTACTATCAACAACCAGACTGAAAGCACACATATTCTTTTTTTCTCCCTCCCTCCCTTTCACCCCCTCTCTCCCTAACCCTGGACTGTTTATATTTTGCTCTAAAATACTATTACAAAGGGTTACAGTCCCTTTAATGCAAAATGACAAGTTATGACAGAAAAATACTGGCTGTCTCCAAGAATGACCTCAGGGGAAGAAATTTATTCACTTAAAGACTCCACAGCCCTTTAATTCATTTCTTGAGAAGTATTTACTGTTTAATATGTTTCCAGAGGAAACAAGGGACAAATAACAGAAGGTCAACTTGGCTCTTTATTTCCCAGAATCCACTTTTTCTTCCCTTAAATAACTAATTATATTCTGATGAAAACAGTACTGAGCTCTTTGTAGAAAACCCGATAAACATGCAGAATTCAGAAAATAAGTAAATGTCTTTTCATTTCTCCCGGCAGAGACAAGCCACTAACTACTGGGGCTCTTCTCCTCAGTGAAGTGTAATACACATCAAGTGAGTAATTACGACTTAGGTTTTAATACATATGTTGTTGTTTTAGATACCACAGAATCAGAACTCTTAGCAGACCCTGCCATGGGTTTTCAGAGGCGGTAAATCACACAGGAGGTTGCTGGCCATCTTTCTCCTTTGGAGCAGCCGGTGGATTTGAACCATGTACCTTTGGGGTTGGCAACAAAAACTCCCAACAACGGGCAACAAAACCCCCCTTACCAAAAAAAACTCATCAGATTTTTAAAAATATTGTTTGGTTTCTTTTTAAGTTTAGCGTATGTATTTCCCCGTACATTCTCTGAAGGTGGTCTTCATGGCCGAATAATCCCATCGTTGTTATACTGAAGCGCCATTCTCACGTGATTCTACAGGACAGAGTAAGACTGCCACCCCCACCATGGGAATGTCCTAAACTTGAGATACGGTTTTTCTAAAAAAACAATGAGTAATAAGAATCGTAGTACAACAAGATGAAACGTGCAGCCACTTAAAGGCTACAACGTCCTCCCTCACGGCTATCTACCTGAGGTACAGGGTGGGGTCCCGGTCATTCTCCCACTTGGCTCTGGCATGTTCCCTGACTTCTGTAAATTCCCTCGACAGTTACCTGTTCCATGCCCTCTGGGTGGACATAGGCAGATGCCAGCTCCACAGAGCGGGAACAGAACAGCTGGTGGTGTTAAGCTTTGGGCTGACAACCACAAGACTGGTGTTCAACCCCACTGGCCGCTTCAGAGAACCATGAGGCAGTGGCTCCCGCAGGGATGTGGCCTTGGGAACCCCACGGGACAGGCTAACTGTGGTCTGCAGGGCGGCTTGAGTCACACTTGACTCAGCAGCGAATCTGGCGGTTACTGTTGTCATTTACATACATCTATGTGACACGTGCCTGTTACGTGGTGTGGGGGAGAGTGGACGGACAGACCTTCGCTCTGGGGTCCGATGCTGTGCATGCTGAATCCACGGACGCTGGTCGGGCCGCCCAGGTAAAACCTGCACGGAAGTGAGAGAGCAGAGTGACGTCAGCAGGTGAAAACCCGAGGGACCTCGGAAAACACAGAGCCAGCACGTCACCTGGGGTGCAGGGTCAACTCCCTACCCCTCAGCAGGCCTGACACAGTAACCAGGTGCTTGTGGAGACAGGTGAGCTCCAGACACCCGCCTGTCCACCCCGAGGAGGGAGGGAGGCAGGCAGGCGTGGTCACCACACAAGAATCCCCGCTCCTCACAAGAACTTATCTGGTTCCTTTTCTGAACAGGCCTCCTAAATGCTCAAAATACAGCATCAAGAACAAAAGAATCACAGTAGGATTCAAACAGAATAAATGCAGGTAGTTAATACTAGAAGGAAAGGGACCAAAAGACTGTTGCTGGTATCTTTAATGGGTTTGCATGTGGATTTGGGGTTGTATTTCTTTAATAAGAATTTTTAATTGCTGCTGTTATGGACCATCCAATCAGAACTAACCCCTGGCTGGTTTTTTTAAGCCCCAGCAGGTTTTCTGAGGGAGTACACTGCATGGGAGGCAGTCTTCTCCTGCAGATGAGCCGGTGGATGTGAACTGCATGCTTCTGGGTTGTCAGTGCGACTCCTTACCACAAAGCCACCAGAGCTGCTTGAGTTTTTAATCATTTTTAATTAGGAAAACTAAATACACATTTTAAAGCTCAATTCTTCATGTGCTCCTTAATGGGCTGGAAAATTGCGCTCTTTACAACTACATCTGAGTAAAATGAAGAACATAAATAAAAAATTCCTCAGACACTTGCTCCACTCTCTGTAAAATGGCAGCGCTTGCTGGGACTGGTTCTGTTGCTGGAGGAAGGTGCCAGAGTCACTGTGACTCACAGCGGGGCTCACGGAGGCCCGACGACACTCAGATGAGCCTTGCCTGATCCCGCGCCAGCCTCGTCGTCTCTCGGACCCTGAGACCCACTGTGACGCTGACTCAGCCCATCTCGCTGGGACCCTTCACCTTTCCCAGCAGGATGTCCTTTCCAAGGTCTGGCTCCACCTGACCACGTGCCCCAGGATGTGACATGAGGTTTCACCGTCCTTGCGTCTTAGGAGCCCTGTGGCTCTGAAGCACACCCTTTCCTCCAAGGAACCTTAGACGCTGTCGAGTATGACTCACAGCGCTCCTCTACGTAACAGATCTGAAGCCTATGCTGTGCCACCCTCACCACCTCTGACATCCTTGGGCCAATTCCTGCGTCAATCCATCCCGTGAGGGTCTTCCCCGCTTCTGAAGAGAACCCTCCACCTTTCCAAGCATGAGGTCCTTTTCCAAGGAGCCCCCTCCAAACAACACGCCCAAATTATGGGAGACAAAGCTTCACAGTCCCTGTCTCCTTGGGGCATTCGGGCTGCACCTTCTCCAAAACCTACCTGTTTGTTCCTTTGGCCATCCATGGGGTGTTCAGTACTCTTCTCCAAGACCACAGTTCAAAGGCAGTGAGTGTTCATTCTATAATCCTCATTCACTGTCCAACTTCCAGATACATGGCAAGTGATTGAAAACACCACGGCCTGAATCGGGTGCACCTTAAATCATGTTATAAAACATAATGGTGCTGGAGTAGAGTATCGAATATACCATGGACTACTAAGAAAACAAACAGATTCACCTTGGAGAGGGTTAAACCAGGCTGCTCCTTGGAGGCAAGGATTCTGAGGCTTCATCTGACATACTTTGGACATGTTGTAAGGAGGGACAGGTCCTTGGAGAGGGACATCATGCTTGGGAGGGTGGAGGGACGGCGCAGGAGGGGAAGGCCCTCTATGAGGTGGATTCAGTGACCGTGGTGATCGGGATGGGAGTGTCAGAGGCAGTGTGATTGGCACAGGACAGAGCATGGTTTAGGGCTCTTGTACATAGGGTCACTATGAGTCGCAAGCGCCTTGACGGCACATAACAACAACAACAATGAATGGAAATGATTGTATAAAACACAGTGTGAATGAAAGATAGTGTGAAGCAAAATGTGTATGAACTTTGTAAGCAAATCAATATAAAATGAATTTAAAAAAACAAAAAAACCCAACAAACTGACACTGCTGTTGTTCGGGTCTTTGGAGGGGCCCGAGAGCAGTTTCCTAAAGCAGTGAGTCTCCTATCTCCTGACGGTTGATCAGAGGGGTGTTGACTGTGGGTCCACACAGTATGAAATCACTGACCATTCCAATCTTTTCTCCATCTATCATGATGGTCCAGTGGGGAAGATTTTTGCCGTCTAGATGTTGAGATGCCATCTGTATTGAAGGTTGTAGTCGCTGATCTTCTGCAGTCAATGTTTCAGGTCCTCCTCACTTTCAGTCAGAAAGGTTGTGTCATTTACATTATGAATCTCATCAGTGGTGGTTGATGAGTCTTCCTCTGACCCTGATGCCACACTCTTCTCCACAAGAGTCCAGCTTCTCAAATGATCTACTCAGCACATAGACTGAATAGGTATGGAGAAAGGATTCAGACAGTGGCGATTACTACATAAGAAGTTAAAATGATACGAGGTGTGTGTCATCTCTCCAGCATGGGGCCCAAGAAGTGGCAGCCGTCCCTGCCCTCGGAGACGCCCACCGACCTGGGGGACCATGCGTGCTGCTCATGCTGGCTGTATCTGAACAAGTCTTCTTGTCACACAGAAATCTTGGTAAATTTTTCTATTTGAACTTGAGTTTAAGTTTCTCAGTGTGTGTTTATTACTTGGGATTTCCATGCAAAGATTTTCCAAGTATTTCAGTAAGTATGGGAAAAACCAGCAAGTTCTCTTAATTTTTTAAAAAATTATATGCCAAACTTTCTTTTGAAAAAATTCAAAGGCCCTGAAGCAGATTATGTAAAATGTGAAAAGGTGCGTCCCCCCTACCTTACCTGTCCACTTACATCACAGACCACACACCAGCCTCGGTCAGAGGTTTGTTAGGAAGTGGTGATGGTTAAGAATGCACGTCACAACAGCTGGACCATGGTTTCGGTGGTCCGGCAGTCATGCTGTGGTGTCCCTTGGTGATGAGACCTGATTTATTAGAATTACCTCCATAAGATCTGCACTGACCACCGAATCTGTTGAAAGGACGCTCACTGCGGGCTTCTCACTCCATCAGGATCTTACATCTGGTTCACTGTCACCTGACCTCCAGTTCTCAGGCCCTAAGCCAGCAGCAGGTTCACTCACTGTCGCCTGGTGGGTTGAGAGAAGCTTCCAGCTTGACGTCTCACCAGGGCACTTGGGACTGGCCGTCTTGTTGAGATCCAGGGAGCTCTGGTGGTCCAGATCATCAGGAGCTGGGTCCCAACCCACAAGGCAGCGGCTCCCTCAAGGTCCCCCAGTGTCCATAATTTAAAAGTTTTGCTATTATCACCAATCGCACTGCGATGGGCTTTGCCAACAGGTGAAACGGTTTACAATGCTGTTTACAAATTACGTTTTCTCACTTCCAAAGTGTCATTCAAAACCATGGAACCAAATGACAGCTAAGACAACATGAAAATGGAAATGCTGAGTTAAGGTCACGGAGTTTTAAGAACATTTTTTGTCTACAAGGACAATTTTAAGTATTTCAGAGTACGCACAGCAGCACACCCTTTCTTAAAAGCAAGGCCCAGCAGCACTCTTCACAAACCTTTAAACAGTTCCTATTCTTTGAGACAGTGTTTCCACATTTAGGAATCTCGTCTCATCTCAGAAAATAAAATTAACCATCACTTATTAACAATGTTGTTTATAAAAAGCACAGAAAGAAAAACATTGGAAATATCTAGAAACAGAAGTGGGCTTCACATTGAACAAATAAGAAAAGATTGCATGTCACTGAAACGCTTCTCACAAGGATGTCAAATGCAGTATTTAAACACCTAAACACAGAATAAATATGTGCATATTAGCACACCCATGAACACACACCTATGCAGACTGAAAGGGAAGTCTCAAATGTTACCTCTGCTTAAGAACAGAGTCAGTGTTCCTGTTTCTATTTTTAATTTCTAAAATGTATATGAACCACATCCTTTTATAATCAGAGGAGAAAAGAACAAGTTTCTTAATATAATTAAGCAACCTTTGCATCCTTTCTCTAAAAATCTGTAAAAAAGAGTTAATATGTGGCAGACAGGATATTCTGAGATTAACTTCAGTAAGACTTAAAGTCTTGATCTCCTAAATAATTAGCTGGACAATGACTAAGGACGACAGAAGAACTGATTCCTTTGAGTTGTGGTGCTGGAGAAGAGTACTGAACATACCATGGACTGCCAGGAGAACAAATAGGTCTGTCTTGGAGAAAGTAAAACCAAGTTTCTCTTTGGAGGTTAAGATTCTGAAGCTCCTTCTCACATATTAGAGCATGTGGCCAGGAGGGACCAGTCCTTGGAGAAGGACATCATGCTTAGAATGGTGGACGGACAGGGCAGGAGAGGAAGACCCTGGATAAGATGGGCAATGGGGTTGGTGTGTTGGAGTCACTGAGACTGACTCAGGACAGGGCAGGCTTCAGAGCTGTTGCCCATAAGAGTTGCTATGAGTCACAGGTGACTTGATAGCACATAACTACAACAAGAAGATAACCTCTCAGCAATCGCCAAAAGAGATTGAAAGGAAAACCATTTGGAAATGACTCACTCAACTCTCATTACTCACCGATCAGCAATACTTGATGGTTTATCACCAATGGGTACCAACATCCCACCCCAGAGAGAGGCTGAGATGACCTGTGGGGACAGAAACCAGTGGGGTACCGTCAAGCTGAGAACGGGCACCACAGCAGGCTTGTGGCAGCAGGGCAGGCGTCACTGACCACACCATGCCCAGGGCCACACAGAGTCCTGAGCCGGACACCAGGGCTGCAGAGGACAGCAGGTCAGGCAAGGTAACGTTCAAGTGGTCTTGTGGCTGCTACCCAACATGCAATTTCAATTCTCAAAACAAACGTAAGCCAAGTCCCTGATGGTACAAAGGGTAAAGCGCTAGGCCACTATCTGCAAGGGTGGTGGTTCAAACTCGTCCCGGTGTCTCAGGGGTACGATCACTGTCACTGAAAACCCTCCAAACACAGCACAGTTCTACTCTGTGGGGCAGGGTCGCCATGAGTGGGGACTGACTGGACAGCAAGGCCATTCCTATCAGCACACGACATGCTTCTCCTCTGATGCAGTGACGCTCCCTGGCTGTGCGCCTGATGACAACACTCCTGACCTCCCCCCAACATCTCGCGTGAACCCAGATCTCCTCGTCCTCTAGCCTGCTCCCCCGCACACCAGTCTCCACGAGCTGCAAAGTCCATGCTGGACACTCAGGCCCCAAGATCTTGAACTTGAATCTCCTCATGCCTAGACCTAACCTGGGAAACACACAGCTTCACCTTCTCCCATCCGAGGAGTCCCCTCTCCATCCAACGCCACACCCCAATCGCTGCCCCAATCGACTCCCAACCTCCTGCCCTCACCCCTGGACCAACACCCCGCCTCATCTCTGACCTAACCCTAATGACAACCTACCCTCACCCTCCTCTACCCCTCCACCCTCATCCCAGACCCAAACCCTGTCCTCAGCCCTGCCTTCACCCCTGCCCTCCTCCCTGGTCTCACTCAACTCTCAACTTGTTCCCTCTCCACCCTCACCCCTGCCCTCACCTCAGCCCTTTCCTGTGGCTTCACCTTTAGCCTCACCCTCCTCTCAATCCTGGCCCCTGCCGCACTGGGCTCTGACCTGTTACACTCATCCCTGCCTCACCCTACTCTCACCCTCTCCTCTGCCTCACCCTAATCTCCCCCTTTCCCTTCCCTTCCCCTCACCTCATCCTCTCCCCTCACCCCTGCCCATACCCTTTCTTCTCTAAAACACAGTGAGAGTGACCTGTACGGGCATCTGACACATCATCACCCCGTCCTTTCTGACGGCTCCGTTGGTCTTCTCTCCCAGAGTAATAACAAGGGTCCTCAGCACAGCACCCTAAGTGCTCTAGAATGTGACCTTGAACGCTAGTCCTGGAGCATGCCGGCCACACCTGCCCAAGCCCATCCCCTGAAGGATGCTGAAGGCCTGCCCTGCCCAGCGGTGCCCCTCAAGGTCACTGCCCAGCCCTTTCCTCTGCGCTTTCCCTCATTACACTCACCACCTCCTGGTAACGTCTATGCTAGGGCATTTACTACAGTCACCTGACGGCAAGCCTGCTGAGGGCCAGACCTTAACTTTCCACAGGATGCAGTGACTGTGGTGCCCGCTGTGTACGCACCTGCTGGATGACTGGAGTGTGGTGAGCAGACAAGGCTGGGAGGGAAGGTGAATAAATGGACGGTGGGTGTGTGACTGGTGAGGGATAGGTGGGATCTGTGGGCAGCTGGCGGATGGATGGCTGCAGAGACAGACGGATGGTGGGCGGGTGGACAGGTGAGCGCCGCCTCAGAGATAAGCGGAGGGGCCATGTCCACGTCTCTAAGGACGAGGGAGGAAGCCACGGCAAGAGCTGGAAGAGGGCGCTATCACGGCGGAGGGCAGGTCCCTCAGGGGTGAAGTCCCTCAGCAGGGTCAGCACACAGGTAGGAGGAGACAATGATGGAACATCAAAGGGCGATGTGTGCCCCAGAAATGGACATGAGTTAGTTATCCCAAGAACTGCATTTCAGGGGACAGAAGGGGGAGGGGAAGAGGAGCAGCAGGGACCACGGGACAGGCTGCATCACGGCCACAGGCGAGAGCGGGACAGGCCCTGGGGCTCACTGGCCCCGCACGAGGTCTGCTAGCGGTCAGGGAGCAGCTCCGAGCAGGGAAACGGCTGTGGGAGGGAGGTAAGGACAACCCCCCGTGAGACGACGAGCTGTGAGCCAGAGCGGCCCCCAGCTGGGGGCTGAGGCCAGGAGGGAGCAGGCTAGGCCGGGTGGAGGCTGCCCCGAGAGAGGGCCATGCGTCTCGGAGCGGCCAGGGGAAGCCACATTGAGTCAGAGGAGGAGAGGCCACGGGGGGAGGCGGAGAAGCTGAGAGGCAGGAGGGACACGGGGACATGGTGCAGAGAAGATAGGAGAAGAGCAGACACAATGAGGTGCTGGCAGACACAGCTGCACGTGCCAGGGGAGGATGTGGGCACTCCCCTGACCTCCGACCTCCGACAGACAGAGCAGGGCAGGGCTGGAGCGGGGCAGGTCCACACTCAGGTGCAGAGGACCAAGGCCACGTGAGTGGTAACAGATTCGTCCAGGAAAGCTGTCTAAAAACAACGCCTGCACTACTGCAGCGACACCCTCCTCTGGGCCCTGAGCTGAAGGTCAACAGGGACAGCAGTGGCAGCCGCAGGCAGTGTCCCGCTCTCCGATAGTCAGGGAAGCACAGGCTGGCTCACGTGTACTCACTGACCTGCAGGGAATCCCTCACGCTTTCAGATGTGATGGGACCCCCATGAAACAGGTCACTACAGATTAGTGAGTGAGCACCGGTCAGCCTGGACTCACCCCACTTGCTGGACAAGCCTCCCCTAGTCAAGAGCTAGCTGTGCCCTAGGACAATGTGGGGAGTAAGCCTGGCATCCCCTCAGCCTTCAATCCACTGACAAGGTCAAAACCCAGTCACTCCCACCTCATCTCCTGAGTCAACAGAGAGAAACTAAACCTCACTGGGTTAAAGACTGAAGAGGAGAAAAAATCCCAGAAGCCCTCAGAGCGCAGCACCCCCAGCAAAGCTGGGCAGAGACTCAGCAGCGACACAAGAGGGAAAGAGGACTCCGTGGGCATCCTTGAACCCCACTTCCCAGAAGGGCTGATGTGAGACAGGAGAAGGTGTGCTCTCTCCGTGGGCATCCTAGAACCCCACTTCCCAGAAGGCCAGACAGGAGACAGGAGAAGGCACACTCTCTCTTCTGGGGGCCCGTGAGATAACTGGCAGTCTCCACTTGGGCAGAGCAAGCATCTCCAACCCCAAGGGCCCCAGCGGGCCACACAGACACCCTGGACTTTCACTTCAGCACTTGAGACTTGGGAACGAACATGAGGGCTGGAAACGGCAGTCCTGCAACTGTGGGCCCCGGGTACTCACTGAGTCCAACACCAGCTGCTTATTCAGCTGGAGTTCAAAGTCCTCCTTAAGGAAGCTCACGTCCCCGCCAGTGTAGCCCGCCAGCTCCTGCAGGAAACAGGGGGTCAGACGGGCGCAGACAGACCCCTTCCAGTGCCACTGCACGGCGATGCTGCTACATCTCACCCCAAGTTCCAAGCTTTCAAAGGCGGCAGAACATGCCTGCCATCTGGATACTATGTTCCGACTGTCTGAGAAGTGGCAGAGAGCTGACAGAGAACAGGAATCTCAAAACCCCGACTGAGTGCAGTCCATTATTCCTGCAGATGTGAGCTCCAGCTGAGGCACGTCCCATCACAGCTCACAGCACGATCAACCATGGGCTATGCCGACCCTTCACAGCACTTCTGTACGGCCTGCTTCCTAGCTGCTCCGTGGGACGGAGAGTGGGCCACCTGGGTGGGCGCCCTGCACAGGGACAGCTGGCAAACATAAGCTGCCCAGAGGAGACCCTCCAGCTGCACTGTCCCCAAGCCACCCTGCTGCCTCCTTCCCAAGGGCAGGTTTTCAGGCATCCGTGGGCTATAGTGCTGCTATCCAAAACTGTGAACGACTCTGTCACACAACAGCCATGTTGACCATGTGACACTAAGCTCCCACAGCCTTGGACAGAGGGCAGTAAGGCCTAGTCCCTATGTGGACCGAGCTGCACTCACCGGCCTGACCCACTTGACCCCACGGGCATGTGAGTTACCGCCCCACCTCCTAGCATCTTCCATGTACAACCAGGAAAGCCTCGCCTATCCCGCTTCCCCGGGCCCAGCATGTCATCCTAGCAGCGGAAACACCCAGGTCGGGAGCTGAAGGAGCGGAACTGCACAGTGCTCCCGATGAAAGGAGGACCCGCCACATCAGCAAGGCCAACACCGGGGGACTCCCTGTCCCCGCCCACCCATCCGCAGAGTCCACAGTGGCAAGCGTGGCCACCTCTGTCAGACACGGGGACAAGCGAATGGACTCTACCTGGTTAATTTTCAGCAGGGCTCCTTTCCTTGGTAAGATGGAGGAATTACGCGAGTCGATGACCATCGCGTGCTGAAAGACATTTGTGTTTGGTGCACGTTCACGTCAAACAGTCCTAGGATGTGACCAACACTTAGCAAGTATAAACGCCATGCTCGGAACTGTGCTAGGAACTTCCCAGTCAATTGGGGAGGCCACACAAACCCCCACGAGGAAGACAGTCTCACCCCGACTTCACTCTCGCGACACTGGGGCTCCTGGAGCACGGAGTGAATGAGGAACTCCCCAGTCCATCAGGTGAGAGCTGACCGCTCCACAGGCTCTTCCTTTCTGAGAGCCTGACACCCCAACTAAGTGTACTCGGCCACCTTTCTAATTATTTTAGAAAGCTTTAAAATCGCAGCTAGCTCTCAAACACACTTTCCTCCATGGCCACAGATGGTAATGAGGAAAAACCATGGTGTTCAGAATACACAACCCGGGGTTACACTGGATCATAAATTCACAGGACCCAGGAGCCGTCAACAACGTTTTAGCCCAGGCTGGTGAAGTCAGCCTTCCGGTTCACAGCACATTCACCGCAATCCCCAGATGACGAGGAAGCGAGTGGGCGGGCAGCGGGCAGCCACTGAGCTGATGTCAAACACAAGCGACTTCACAGCACCAGCGAGAACAGGGGGGTATGGAAACAGGACGACTTTCCCAGACAAGATCCACCCTCACCGAGAGCGAAGACTTGAGGGAGTGCCCGCTTTCCTTCCGGACAGCAAAGGAGGCTGTTCTTGAGAGGCAGCCCAGCTCTCTCCATACGCCTTCCCACTTCACCGTGTGGTTGGTCTTCCAGATGGGAAACTGTGAACACAGGGAAAATGGTGAGCAAGGCCCAGCTGGAATCCTCCTCGACAGTCCACATGCTCGGAGCACGCTCCAAATCCCAAATCCTTTTTCAGAAGGAGGTGTCCCTAGGGAGGTAACTCATCAGATTCCCAAGACTCAGGTTCTAGAGTGGCAGGGAAAAAGGAAGGGTGAGGCCCCGGGAGGAGGGGAGGGAGGCGCTGTGCTGTGGTCAGATGAAGTGCTGCCCCATACAGGGTCCCCTTCAGGGTGACCAGCAGGTCACTTATCTGAGAGCCACAGGCACCTCCACAACCGTTTGGTGCCATCTGTGTTTGCTAAGGTCAAGACACATGGGCAGGCCCCTCTCTGATTCCCATTTCAGAGACCAGCCACACTCTGTGGACAGAAATCCAGGCTGTCTGGTATGGCAGTGTTGGTGCCCCTACAAGACCCTCGTGGCACTCCCGAGTAGATGGTGTGGCTGAGAGGGCGCCTGAGCCCAGGAGCTGGAGGCCTGGAGAGAACTCAGAGGTGCTCGGCAAGGCACCACCTCACTGCACATTCTCACGAGGTGCCCAGCAAGCGACAGCCACTGGGACGCAAAGACAGCACCGGCCCACGGCTACGTCCACACGGAGGCCACCTGAAAGTCATTCCCAGACACTCGGGGCGCTGGCCTGATCCCTTCATTCTTGTAGGACAGCTCTTAACAAGGAAAACACCACCAGCCCCAGGACAGGCACCCTGCAGGTCTCTGGGTTCACCGCTGGAGCAAAGCACTAGGCTCACGGTGTGAAACGGCCTCCCCTCTTTTCAGCAGACAAGCCCTGCCTCTCCAAGGCCCACCTCAGGCAGCATCTCCTCAGAGGCCCCTTCTCTGTCGTCGTGGGCCCCCAGTGCAGGTGCAGTTAGCACACTCGGCTGCTAATGGAACGGCTGACAGTTTGAGCCCAGCCAGGGGCACTTTGGGAGGAAGGCTGGAAATCTAACCTGAAACGTCAGCCACAAAGAGCCCCCAGGCAGAGTTCTGCAGGACTGAATGGCTCGTGGCTCCCAGGAGCCCCATCGGGGGACGAACACCAGCCCTGCGTCCTCTCCTCCCACGGCTATTCCCACACTGCACACTTCCACCTCTGTGCCACACCCGCCTCGCTGTCCTCTCTGGCCACGACGCCTGTGTGACAAAATGGGTCGTCCGTGCCTGTACGGGGTCTCTGACCTCAAGGATAGCATAAGAGGGAATCTTGCAAGCCCTGTGCTTGTGAGTGGGCTGATGCCTGGATATTTGTTACAGATGGGTCTTCGTAATCCCGGGAAACCTCTGGAAATTAAGTTGCTTCTAGGAATTGCTTTTCTATTTTTAAGCTATGTGCTGTTTTTGATAAGAATGGGAGTTTCTGGGGAAAAAATCAGGGGAACTTCACCAGAACTGGGATAAAGATTTAACTAAAGTCCTTAATCAGGAACCACTTGATGTTTCTGGAAATGATAATAAATAAGATGAAAATATAAAAGAAATTGAGATTGTTCTTAAAAGTATAATTTTGAATATGATCTTTGAGTATGTATCTAATTCCTCTTTTGTGATACTTGCAACTCATATTCAGCAATGTAATTGTATATTAGGAGAAAGTTTAGACTAGTTTCAATAGTAGAAAGTCACAGTTAATGAGAAACGGAAGTTTATGATGATGACCTTAATAGAAGTGTTGTATTCCAAGGAAAAAGAATTGAATATTACAAATTAACTTGGTAAAAACAAGTTAAAGGAAGTCGTCCGCCTTAGTGCACATTGCCAAACAAAAACAAATTAAAATCTTATGAAACAAGTTGCAAAAGCTATTGATAAACATAGGAATAGTCCAGAGTGTAGGAAAATAGATGTTAAGATTCATTAGGCTTGGACCTTATGTGGTACAGTACAAACATGAGTACAAAGGTAAAAACAAAAGTGGCTAAGATACAGTAACGCAAAGTAGGAGAGGAAAGGAAGTGAAATGTAAACCATTAACCATTGTCTAGCAGATGACCAACATAAGGTCATTGTGTTTCTTGTTCAAAGAATGTTTAATAGCTGATGCTATTATTTAGTAATAGAAAATACTTTCTTTTTGTTTTTTCTAGTTAAAATCTTATGTGAGCTTTGTAATCACAAAATGTTGGCTATAAGTCAAGTTTAAACAAGTTTAAATGTATAAAAAGCAAGCTTTTAGCATAATAAATCAGAGCTCTCTACATCATCCTGGTGTGCAGACTCTCCTTTTCGCCGACTTCGTCCCTCACCTGCTCTTCACCAAGAAACCCCTCGAGTTTCTTGTCACGACCATGGTCGGGTGGTCGGTGACACCTCTGCCCATCCCCGTGGACACGAAGGCCTCTACTCTCCCAAAGGCCTCTGCTCTGTAAGCAGGGCCTACATGAGGCTACGTATTAGGGAGCCCATGGGAAAACACTGGGGAGACAGTATCTAGGTGCTAAAGTGGGGTTGCCTCACAGCTGATGCCCATAACCTGCTGGAGGCAAAGAAACTGGGAGAAAAGTGTTTGCCCAAGTGTCCTGACCTCTGGGCACCTGGCGACATCAGAGCAGCAAGGTGTCTGAGGGCCACTCACTTCCTGAAGGGGAGCAGACAGCAGCACGTGCTCAAGGACGTGTGTGTCTCACACGGAACCTGAGGCTCAGCTGGTGTCCCCCAATCGGCCGACCACCTCTGCTGCGTCCACGACCTGCGGGCAGTCACCTGGACAGCCAGCATCCCCCAGAGGCTTCCAAGCATCAGTGAGGAGCCTCAAGGAGCCCCTGGGGACAGAGTGCTGTCTCCTCCCTCATGTGCTTGGTAAAGCGGAGGGGTAGCCAAACACAGGAAAGGCCCTCAGCCTGCCCGCCAGCCCTAGCGGCTGACCACGAGCTCCACACAGAAGCCACGGAAGGATGGCAAGGATCGGGCAGGGGTTTCGTGCTGTGGAACACGGGGTCAGGCCCTCAGCCCACCCGCCAGCCCCAGCGGCTGACCATGAACTCCATGCAGAAGCCACAGGAGAATGGCGAGATCGGGCAGGGGTTTCGTGCTGTGGGGGTCAGGCCCTCAGCCCGCCAGCCAGCCCCAGCAGCTGACCATGAGTTCCACACAGAAGCCACGGAAGGATGGCAGGATCGGACAAGGGTTTTGTGCTGTGACACGGGGTCACTAAGAATCAGAACTGAGGTCGCCTGACACAGACAAGGAAGCGCCTCTGAGCCACGTCCCAGGGCCACTGAGGCTGCAGCGAGCAGGGCCCTGAACAGGCCACCAGCTCCACCTCAGACTCTGCCCTCGGAGCAGGGGTCTGGAGCTCCGCACATGAGCAGCGCAGGGAAAGCAAGGACGTGAGCGTGAGTTTCTGCCGCGGTCTGGGGGCCGCTGGTGGGGTCAGTTCTGTGTCTGAAGGCCGTTTCTCAGGCCTGGACTAGAAGAGCAACAGGGAAACATGTAGAAATGAAGAGGAGAAAGAGAGCAGGGAGCATCTCCGAGCCCCAAATGGTCAGAGAACATGAATCCCACTTTGTACAACCTTCTCCAGGCAAACCTAGGTGTGACTCCAGGACAGGGCACTTCCAGGGATCTCTGTGACTTCTAGCTAAGAAGCACTACTGACCTTAACACAGAAGGTCAAGAGCAGAGTGACCACAGACAGGCTGAAGCAGCCCCCACTGCACACACGGGACACCCCTCAATGCCTGGTCTGCTGAAGAACAAGCAGCTGGCGGGATGGACAAGAAGCAGAGGGTATGACGCTAACTAGCCGACCACACACTGTGCCCCTTACCCAGCCTCCCTCTCCCGCCTCTGGGACCCGTTACAAGCACCAGGTCTCCCTCGGCTCCACCAGGGGAAGGACAGAACTGCTACTTACACTGTACTCGGCCGACACTCCTCTGTCCGTCTCCCGAAGCGAGCTCCAAGGGAACTGCCCGGTAACTTTATATAAGTTTACAGAGAAACTAGGAGGCAATGGGACAGAGCTTTAAAAGCTGGCACAGAGACTACATGTGGGAAACAATCACATCAACAGCTTTAGACACGCGTCTGGGCTCCTCTCGCAAGGACGCACACAGCGTGGCGTAAGGTGGAGAATGTCAGCTTACGCTGCGTAGCTGCTCCTCACAAACAAGCATCTACTTTAACTTTAAACCAGGACACTCAACGCAACCCGCTGCTGGGCTTCCTACTTTCTGTCGAAGTTCCCGGGCTGTGGTTTGAAGAAGGACAGGCCGTAGGAAGTCTCTTTCGTTCCGTAGGAAAACTGAAAAGTCACCTTTTCGGCACGGCCAAGGAGATTCGGGAGCTTGAGGCCAAGGACCTAGGAGGAAAAGACCGGCGATGGTGGAAAAGCAGGCACAGCTTCGCTCACGGAGGACTCTGCTGGTGCACACCCTCCCACGATCTCGGAAATAGAGCCGAGCCAGGAGGCGCTGTGTGGTGTTCTGGGGGAGGTCACCAGGAGTCAGCAGCAACTTAACGACAACAGTGACCTTAGCTGAGACATTCACAAAACTAAACAGAACGTCACCCACAGACCAAGCCTGGCGCCCACTGTGTTTACTCTGTAAGACAGGCCTCTGCTGAGAGCGTGAGCCTTGTGTACGCTATGGGTTCATCCAAGGGACGGTGTCCACCTGCCAACTGCGAAGCTCTAGGACATCAAGCCTGTGGGCTGGGAGTTAGGAGACGCTCACAAGGGCCCTCTTCTGGTCCAGTGGAGAGGGAGCTGTGCTGCCAACCCAAAGGTAGGTGGTTCAGTACAGCAGCCACTCCTCAGGACAAAGATGGCGATCGCCTCCTGTGCGGCTGGCAGCCCCTCCCAACCCACTGGAGAGTCAGCCAGGAGTCAGTTCTCACTCGATGCAATGAGTTTTTTAAAAAAGAGACGATTAATACCAACATTCTCCAAATTGTCCCCAATTAATACTCGATGTTACAATTTTCATGTAACAATCAAAACCCTGGTAACTCTACTGTGCTTGGTCAACTCCAGCTCAGTGCATCCCAACAGGACAGAACAACACTGTCCCGTAGGACTTCCAAGGCTGTAATTCTAGAAGCTGATGCCACGCTTTCTTCCACAATGGGCTGGAACAGTCAGCCTTCTGGTGAGCAGATGAGTGCTTCACCACTGTGCCACCAGAGCTCAAAAAAAACGGAAATAAAACCAACTCTCGGAAGCTTAAGAGGAATTACAAATAATAACAGGCTACTTCCAAATCAAGGTCCAGGGAAGTGAAGTGAAACCCTTTGAAAACCACTTCTGGGATATGGCCATCTTTCAACAAATCATAATGCAAAGTTTCAATGTTAAGAAGTAAAACCTACACCATACCATACTGCCTTCATTGTTCCCAACCATGGTGTTGTAGCTGCCCGTTAATCTCCTTAATTCAGTCACTTCAAAGGTAACGTCTAAGCCGTTTGGAAGTGCATCATCACCTGAGTAGATGGGGAAAAATCATTAGATGGTAAGACTAGAACATGTCACAAGATTAGGTCCTACTGTTACCATTACTAGTTCCTTTGGAAAACGCATCATTTATTCTAAGTTATTATGCACAGTTCATTCTTCTTATTAAGTCTAGACACACTCTCACACACAACACAGAATGAAGTCTCAATTCCCAGTGTGGCACAGCAGGTCCTCAGCATCGTGTCCCCTGACCACTCTCTGCTGGATCTCTCTTCCTTCTCCATCTGCCTTGCAGTCTCCCAGGCACCTGAGAGTCACCCAGTGAGCTGAGATCTCTCGCCACTGGGCCTGTCAGATACTCGTCATCCTCCCTCACCACCAGGCCCTGCTCCCTACATGAACGGCTTCCAAGAACCCTTACCCTGCCCTGCTCAACAAGGGGATGTGTCTTCCTCCACTTGCCCTTTTAAAACACATACCAACTGGCCTTAAAAATCCTGACGTGCCCATTGCCAAACCTGCCTCTGACCAGAGGACAACCTGTGCTGCCTTGTCCCTTATAACCACCCTGGGGCAGGCTCTTCCTTATACAAGAATAAACTAAGAATTTTATAAGAAATGAATAGCTTAACCTAAGTAGTAAGATATGCAGATCAGCCAGCAAACAAGCTTCCTTTGGTAAAGCACACATGGAGCAAGGAGGGACCAGGGCCCATGTGGACGGCTGCCATGCTAGGAGGAGCCTAGTGCGGCCTGGCTCTCTCCTCAGGATCCTTCTTCCCAGAGCCCTGGTGTCCAGGTTCAGAACCCTGGTGCAGCCCAGGGACTCATACCACCCAGACCGACGGGAAAGTCCAGTGATTCTCCAAGACCTTTCGGTCTGAGCACACCCCCAGCCATTCTGGGATCCTGGGATGCAGAGGGGAAACCATAAGGGACCACAAGCCAGTGCACACCTTGACATGTATCGATCAAAACATCCACTTGTCTAAATATTCCCAGACGGAGCAATTTTTCCCGAGCCTCGTGAGATTTCCGCATGACCTGTGAGAGGAGAGATGAGAGAAAATGTGTTTATCCAGAATACAGACATCACTGGTGGCTACAAGTTTACCACGGTGCCAAGGTGAGCAATGTGGAAAACAGAAGGCACCCAGACCACAGACAAAGTGGACAGAACACTGGATGGAGAAAAAGAAAATTCTATTCCAATGGAAACTCTAGTGTTAAGGAGAGGTGCTAGAGCTCTGGTGGCCTAGTGGCAAGGAGCTGCAACTACAATACCAGAGGTGCACGGTTCGAATCCACCAGATGCTCTGCCGGGAAAGGAGGGACAATCTCCTCCTGTACCTGTCAGATCTGATTTGACGGTACACACACACAAAAATAATAAAATTTAAAAAAAATTTTAAAAAAAAAAAAAGGAGAGGTGCTGCCAACCCAGAGCCAGGCAGTTCAAATTCACCCCTGCTCTGTGGGAGAAAGATGGACTATCTCCTCTGTGCAAACTATAGCCTCTGAAAACCTGCTTAAGGGTCAGCTGTGAGTCAATTCTGACATGGCAGCATATAATAACAGACACAACCACGCCTAGTGCATAAAACAGTGGACATAACACAGTCTCTTTACAGAAGCTAAAAACTGGTGACTAAAATACCCTCAGACACAGCCTAGCATTAAGTCTTCTAGAAAGGTTCCTCCCAAACAATGTCTCCAGTGGCTGTGTGTTCACTGCGTGCTTTGGTTCCTGATACTGACCCAATCAATGTAACCAGCAGCTGTTGTGAGGCAGTGGTCCTGGCCTCCTCTCTGGCCGGAAGGAAGCAGAAGGGAAGGCAGAGCAAGCAGAACTTTCAGGAGGGCCCCTGGAGGGCGAGCTCCAGGAGAACTCCAGCAAGGTGAGGCTGACCTGAACATCCCCAAGAAAGCTCATCACGGGGGTGGATAAGGACTTTTGCTTCGAAAGAGAGAACACTGGGCAGAGGCCCTACGGACACTGGCCCAGGTGTGGGAGATGTGATGGGCATGGGCCAAGTGCTACCATGGTGCACGCAGAGGAGACACACCAAAGATATTGACAGAGCACAGAGATGGGCGCTGGGCAGACAAAATGAAGGGGGGATGGAGACTTCTGGCTCTGGGCTTAGCACCGGACTAGAGGCTGAAGAGCAGAGATGAAGACCAGGTGTGGATGGGGTAGGACAAGTGGTGAGTTTGGGCTGTAGCCAGACAGAACAGGAGATGCTGTGGCAACTGGGTAAGGAATTACACACGGGTGGCTGCAAAAGGACCGGAGCTCAGTGAAGAGGACGAGGCAGGAGACAGGTAGGGTCAGTCTGCAAGCCTGAGACTACAGCTGAACAGGGATGAGGGGGAGAGTACTGGGGGGCAGCATGCGTGGGGGCCATGACATCACTGTGCTAGTCCTCGGTCACCAGTCATGGCCCGTGGGGAAAGCAGCACATGAGGACGCTCACAGGCAGAGAAGCCGACAGCCCAGCTCAAATGATGGGGTGGGGACAAAGGCAGGATAGTTGGGGAGAGAAAGTGACAGAGAGGTCAGACAAACAGCTCAGACAAGTGAAAGCAGGAGAACCATATCTGACCTAAACGACATGAGGTGGTGTCTTCAACATGCAAGGAGCTGGTACAAATCAACCAAGGCTCTCAACTCCTGCCTAAGTAAGTGACCGCACATGGACACCGTGAGAATACTTCTCACTCACAGAAGCCTGTGGACACCCGGCCCTCGCCGGAACCGCAGGAGGCAGATGGCCCTCTCTTTGCACCGGCCCAGCAGCCCTGCTGTGTTCTGTGCACATGGACAAAGACGCTCCTGCAGGAAGAATACGCTCGGCTAACAGAGCTGTCCCCGAGCAGGGAGCTGACCACAGTCAGTAGATGGTGGACGTCCATGTGGTGAGCAGGCCCCTCTCACTGCCCCTGCAGCCCGCTACGTGCTCATGGGAACGGATCTCCATAGTGACATGCAATGTCAGAAACACGGAAAGCAGCCTAACTCGTGATCTGAGTCCCACGAAATCAGCGCTGCCTCAGAGCTGACCCTTCAGGGTGGTGTGGGAGGCTGTAAATCACAAAGGAGACGGGCCATCTTTCTCTCGTAGAGCTGCTGCTGGACTTGACCCTCGAGAGGTTGAGCCTTTGGTTGTGGTGGACCGGACCACACCACCCCACACCACCAGAGCTGCCCTTTACAGCACACATGCTCGCCTGTCCCTGGACATCTGGAAGGATGGATGATAAGCTGTAAGGCCAGGCTGACTCTGGACAGAAGGCGTGGGTGAAGTTAGAGCTGGTCACCTCGAGGACAGAGACTGGGGTGTGGTCAGCAGGACACAGACACACTGCCCTGTACTCTTCTCTACGATTTGACTGATAGGCATTTCTATGTGCACAGGTAGACACTGACATACAGACAGTGATGTACGTGTGTGCGCCCCCATACACATGCACCTCTATGCATACATTTATACCCGTGTACATATGATCTCCGTCATGCTCACGCACACGGCTGTAGTTACTGGGACACAGACCATAATGATGGCAAAAGGCAGGGCAGGGCTCAGATTCACAAGGTCACTAGGAACAGACTCAACTGTACCTATCAAGTTATTCACATACACATGTACAAGTGAAAACGCATATGACACACATACTCACTCACTCACTCACACACACACAGTTTTGTGTGTTTAAAATACACATCTTTTAAGGAAAATAATATTTAAAATGGGAACGGACAACACCTCAGACACTTGTGAAAGGTCAAGTGCATGAGGAGTCCTCTGGATCTCGCCCGCAAGACATGCCCAGGATGTTCAATGTGGTTCCAATTACAGGAGGAGGCCACACAGGAGGAGAGATGGCGATCCAGGTATGGCACAGACTGGCAAATGGACAGTGGAGGCAGCTGCCCGCAGGGTGAGTGAGGGCAGACAGAGCAGGGAGGGCAGTGGCACCGGGCTCAGTGAGGAGGGGAGAGGTCAGAGGCAGTTCTGAAAGGACACAGGATGACCTGGCCTTGAAAAGAGGGAGAGAGTTCTTGCTCCAAGGCACACGGGTGAGAGGCCCAGGAGAAGGGGAACTCAGCTCTCTGCTGTGAAGGCAAGGTCATGGAGGGGACAGGGCACACGGTGGCCTGAGGACAGATACAGGGACATCACAGACTTCTCAGAAAGGAGCGGCAAAGAACACAAAGTCAGGACAACACTTACATCAATCAGGTTTTTCGCCTTAAAAACATCTCCAATTTCATACATGATGATATCATTTTTCGTCCTTCCAAGTCCATCAAAGTGCACGTGTTGAACAACCACCTAAATGAGACAAGGCGACACTAACAATCAAATCCAACACAGGGCAGAGAGGACAAAGACGCAGCTCTGAAATTCACTCCAACTTATTTTTCCCCCAAATTTGAGGACCCAGCGTCTACATTTGCATTTCTGTCTCTTTTTCATGCCTTCCCAAAATCCCAGGCCCCCTGGACTGCTCCTCCGTGAGGTGCACGCTTGGCAGGAATGAAGTCAGCAGCTCCCTGCAGGCAGGGGCAGTGCCCGCGTCCCTGCACTGGACCCGGTGGCGCATCCGTAACGCCACAGGTGGTGACTGCACGCAGCCTGCTGAACATCCTCCACGGGTCTCAACGCAGCGCGAGGAATGTTCTCCAAAGACTCGCTAACTTCTTCTTCTGACCAGAATGCAAACTCTTTAGAAGAGGGAACTGCTTCACTCTTATTTCCATAAAAGCGGCTGACGTGAAGACTCAATAAATCCATTCACTCAATAAAAACAAATTTATACTTCAGAGCTAGGTATTGGTCTCAAGGCTGAGGATTCAGCAGTCAACAAAACATAAATCCTGCCCAAATGGATCTTCTATTCCAAAGGGGGGAAGAAACACGTAATGCCTGTTATAAAATAATCCTATTGCTGTCAAGTCTATCTGCACTCACAGTAACCCCACAGGACAGAGAAGCACCTATGTTTCTAAGGCTCTGCAGAAGGAGACCTCTACAGCTCTCTCCACGGAGTGACCGCCTCACACGGCTGACCTTTAGGTTAGGAGGCCAGTGTCCAGCTACACCGAACACAGTGTCCAGGGCTCCTGCACGGACCTCGTAACTTATGGTGATCCTACAAGCCTTACTCTTGGCACCAGCAGCCAGGAAATCAAAAAACGTATTGTGATGGGAAAGTCTGCTGTTAAGAGACCTCTCTAAAGTACTCAAGAGCAACAGTGTCTCTTTGGAGACGAAGGTGCGCTTGATACAGGCCATGGTCTTTGCAATCACTTGTTATGCATCAGAGAGCTGGACAATGACTAGGGAGGAGAGAAGGAGAATTGATGCCTTTGAGCTGTGGTGCTGGAGAAGAGTATTGAATGTACTATGGACTGCCAACAAAACAAAAAGATTCATCCTAGAGGGGGTTA